CTATATTTTTGCAGTGTATGAACTTTAATTGAATGGCTACTCTTGTCCACATGGAGAAATTATGCTGCATAAATTTTCATTAATATCAGTATAAAATTCCTAGCTATCCATACATATTCCTCTTGCTAATATTTTAGGTTGATTATTCAAGTGATTGCTTTCCCAAAATTTATAGATTTGAAATTGTGCATTCCATGATTTTACTTTGCATACAATTCTAGACTGAAAAGAATCAAAATTTCATTATTAAAAATGACTTCAATTGGGGCTGGAGCGATAACACAGTGGGTAGGACATTTGCCTTGCATGCAGCCAACACGGGTTCGATTCTCAGCATCCCTTATAGTCCCCCAAGCACCGCCTGGAGTAATTCCTAGGTGCATGAGCCAGGAGTAACCCCTGTGCAATGCCGGGTGTGACCCCAAAAAGAAAAAAAATAGAGTTCAGTTAACTTTATTTGAATATGGTTGTTATTTGCTGAGCTGTTCACTGTGTTCCTTGAGGGAGGCTTGTCTGCTGGTATGCAGAGCCACGACTGCAAGCAACAACGCTCCGAAATTATGTGTTGCTAGGGATTGAAGCAGAGTCTGCTTCTGCAGAGCATGTGCCTTACCCCTGGGACTGTCATTCCCGCCCCTCAGTTCTGTTTATGTTTTTGTTTTTTTGGCTTTTTGGATCACACCTGGTGATGCACAGGGGTTACTCCTGGCTCTGCACTCAGAAATTACTCCTGATGGTGCTCATGGGACTATATGGGATGCTGGGAATCGAACCCGGGTTGGCCTTGTGCAAGGCAAATGCCCTACCTGCTGTGCTATCACTCCCACCCCTCAGTTTGGTTTTTTAAGGTGAAAAGATTGCTTGATGGGCTGAGTACATGCTTTGAATGTAAAAAACCCAGGTTCCAACACTTGCATCACATGACTCTCATCATGGCAGGAAACAACAGCTGAGCATAGAGCCGGTATTAAGAGCCCTTGACCACCACTCCGTGTGACCCCCAAACAACAGTAAGAAAGCATGATAATTACCATGCATTTGAACTGTGGATTTTCCCCTCATAGTAGTTGACACTTTCACAACCATCTTCATGCTTCTTGAATTTTTTCAAAAAACTAAAGTTAGCTTACAGAGTTCAGAGTGGTCTCTAAAAAGATTTTTACTTCAGATTTAAGATCCATTCAGATATTTTTGTAGGTAAGAATTATTTTCTGAAGTTAATTGCATAATTATTTTACATAACATAGGGAGCTCTACCCTTCACTTCTGACTTGTGTTTATATAACACTGTTTTTTGTTTTTAGGAAGCAAAATTTGGGGTTAAAATCACATATTTCAGCAAGGACCTGTCTTGTGAAGATATAGAATACATAAGCCCAGTTTTTAAGCACTTAAATGTTTTCATGCATATTTGTGTATACTAGATTTCAGTTTATCAAATGGTCTTTTGTCTGGTAGGATGAATAGAGCTGTTATAAAAAGAGAGAAGATTTCTCTGCCAGCAGCATTGAACTTGATGAATTTTAGGTAGTCTATTTATGATCTACAAGTTTAAATTTAAATATAAATACACAGGGACAGCAATTCCTTAGGTGTCCAAGTCTCTGCTTCTGTCTCTGTCTAACTTTAACAAACTCCTTTAAAAATATCTTTGTTTCTTTTACTCTGGGCATATTTTTACCCTCATTAGTGTATGTTACATTTACTTTGAATAGAAATGAAGGAGAATTGGAATTCAAAAAATAAGCTTTGCAAATGGGTTATAGTGAATGTCTTCACTTACAATTTTAGATTTCAAGAAGAGAAAAAGATGAGAAGAAGAAATATGAGTTTTAATTCGTGGATGAAATATTTGGGCGTTAAGTCAAATGATCTGATATTACATGCTTTATATAGAGTGAGTGACATCATTTTCCACTGGATGATTATAGTAATTAATAAGAAACTTTTTCCACTGACTTTTTTGAATGATTTTTGTGGATAGGGAAGGAAGATTTTTTTTCTTTTCAAAAAAATAATACTGAACATAAACATTTAAAGTCTTGGTCCTGGAGAGAAAGTCCACTGGGTTAGATTCCATGCTTAACAAGCAGGAGGACTGGGTTCAATCACCAGCTATGAAATTGATCGTTCCCACCCACTCCTATTACTATGGCTCTTATAACTTAGGACTCCGCCTTACAATGGAGGGGTTCTCTGCCTCCCTGGGCAGCAGTGACCACTTGCACCATCAGTGTCAGTTCCTACCACAGTAGAGGCTCAGAAGACCCTCTGGACTGGTGGGTTTGTTAGGGTTAGCATAACCTGAGGAAGAGATGAATGATTAAGTATTCAATGTTTTAGAAATATGAGAGAATTCACCAGAAAAATTTGGTGAGGGTCAGACAAGGGAGGAGAAAGTTAACTAATGGGTGTTTATTGCAGCTGTGAGAGAAGATAAGGTTGAGGAGTAGAGATTGGTGGTTACTATGGTTGGTAGGACCTTAACCCATCTTTCTGAGACTTGACTTTTAGCTTTGCAGGTTAGAAACTGCAAAGAAACTGCAAAGTAAACTGCTTTACTGCAACTCCTGTGATCAGACCTTTCCCACAATAAAAGCTAGTACACACCTTAGAAGTTCAAACGCTAGGTCTTTAATTTGGGTCAAAATGGTAAATTGTCAAGCAGACCCGTACTTGTGACACATTCTCTCAGAGGGGGAGAATTCAAAGCAGAAAGCCAACTGAAGCACATCATAGCCTGGAGAGCTCCCATTTTCAAAGCAGTAGTAGCAACGGAGATGGTTTTCATGACAAAGTAACATTGACCTGGTATTCTGGATTCAAGTATCACCATCTGAAAAATCATCCAAAAAGAAACCAAGCCATCTTAGGTATCTTTTACACGTGAAATTTCTTGGATCATTGTATTTGGCATTCACCTCTGGGCTGACTGCCAACTCCCTAACCCCAAGTATGTTCATATTAACACGAAGATCACAAAGGCAGGAGCCTTTGCTTATGGCAAAACTTTTCTGCCTTTATTGACAAAGCAAAGGGTCATGCCTACAGAGAATAAAGTGGTGGTCCCCTTTTACTTTAATATTATGAGCAATTATCTTTATGGGGAGGTTAGTTTGGGGGGCCACACCCAGAGTAAACCAAGGTTTACTCTTGTCTTTGCACTCGGGGATCATTTCTGGCAGGCTCAGGGATTATATGTGGTGCTAGGTATTGACCCAGGTCAGCAACATTCAAGGCAAGTGCCCTAACCACTGTTTTATCCAGCTCCATGAGCATATATCTTAAAATGATTATTACTCTCTCTCAACTGTTCCCATCTTGGAAGCTCTAGGTAATGAATGGCTCTTTTAAATTTCACTTTTAAATTGGCATTGCTTTGCTCAACTGGAGTGATAATACTTGACTTGCAAGTGGCCAACCTGGGTTTAATCCCTGCACCTGATATGGTTTCCCTGAGCCTTTCGAGGTGTGATCCTTGAGTAGAAAGCCAGGAGTAAACCCTGAGCATTGTACGTGTGTCCCATAAATACTACCCCCCCCCAAGGAAACTAACATTTGTGTGCAAGAGTTTACATATTTAAATGCTCTCAAGATAGTGTGTTATACATCCCCCCAACATGCCCATTGCCAAAGCACTACATCCCATAGTCCATAGACCCCATCTAAACCTGCCACCATGGTAACCTCAATTCTGTGGTCCCAGTCTTCATTGGCCACATCTATGCCTTCACTCTCTTGTTTTGTACAATACGTAAGAGATCTTCCATGATTTGTCTTTGTCCTTCTGACTTATAGCATGATCCCCTTCAGTTCCATCTAAGTTGTAGCAGAGGGAAATCTTTCATCTTTTCCGATAGCTGAATTTTAGTCCTTGAGAGATAGTGTTAATGATACACCACAGATTCTACTCATCACCATTGCGTGCTTGGGTTGTTCCTACATTATGGTTATTGTAAAAAGCTATGTATCACCTTCATCTTTTGGAAGAGAGTTGTTTTTCCTCTAGCACATTAATAAAAGTAAGATTATTGCAAGACATTTATGTGGGCTAAAGATCCATAGACTCTCTGTAAACTTAAGAATGGCAGGACCAAACTCGGAGGGAAAATTTTTTCTTCTAACAAAAATGGAGTGTACTTGAGAGGTAGAGTTCAAAGTATAATAACTTTACCCCAGATGGAATCAGACAGACTGCTCTTTGGGTCAGCCGGGAATTATGAAATGATTTTTAGGGACGGTGTGTTACAGGTAAGGTGTGTTTTAATGCAACAATTATATATGCTGTGTTTAGCAAATTAGAGTTGTTTGACAGTACTATGTTGTTTGGAACATTACTGTTCATGGAACAGATAAACATATACAGAAAATGGTCTTTAATTTGCATTAATATAAGTAAGACATATTTACGTAGATCTCATGTTTTCAAATATGGTCAATGGACAGACTGGTTCACTCTGAAAATAAGATCTCATTCAGCCATATGTATCTATTTTATTGCTGACTCAAGGCAGTCATTTATTATGGAAACCAATCAGATGTTTGTGAGAACATCCTAACCAAAACAATCCTTTTGACCTTTAACTGGATTTGGAGCTATTTTAAGAGTCAATTTTTTTGAGAGAGAGAGAGAGAGAGAGAGAGAGAGAGAGAGAGAGAGAGAGAGAGAGTAAAGAAATGTTCCCAAGTCTACACACCTTTGGGCATTTAATATTCATCCAAAATCAGCTCCAGATCTCTTGCTCAGTAGCAGGACTCCTTCTGTGGCTCGTGAAAGCCACACTCCTCAGAGCAGATGAGCAAGCACTGCTTTGTTCCAGAGGTGATTCTCAAGTCCTGTTAGGTCACTGAATTCCTAGGTCGGTGTCTAGCCCCTGCTTCCTAATAAATGCAGTTGCCGGGAGGATTAATGTATAATGAGCAAAGTAAAAACGTGTGCATAAAGAGTGAGCCAGTACCTTTTCATGTTAAATGTGGTTCCCCACATCTCCTCTGATTAGAGGTGTGCTCCGAACAAGCCGAGACGGGGCCATGCCGAGCAATGATCTCCCGCTGGTACTTTGATGTGACTGAAGGGAAGTGCGCCCCCTTCTTTTACGGCGGATGTGGCGGCAACCGAAACAACTTTGACACAGAGGAGTACTGCCTGGCCGTGTGTGGCAGCGTCAGTAAGTGGACCTTTCCTCCAGTCTGGCCACCTTTTTCGTCTTTCTCGCCACTGACTCTGCTCTTTGTTAACTGATTGGTTTTCCTGGCTCCGGGGACGGGGGTCTGTGGGTCCCACTAACCGCATCCTTGTCCCCCCCTCTAATTGCCCCACGTCTCCTCCAGTCTGTTCGATCATAAGCCCACATTTCCATTGTTCTGGAATAAAAGCATGGTCACGGGGGTGTTCTTCTTCCAGCTCTAGCCATCTGTAGGGGCTTTGGGATGCTTCTCTCTGAGCTGAGCTGGGGGTGCTGTGTTTTGTCTTCTCAGCTGTTTCTGCAGAACGTCTAATTCTCTGTGTGTCCGTGTACCTGTGTGTTTGGGTCTTTGCATGTGCACTTCTTGTGCAGATAAACTCCCCCACGGAGAACCTGAATGATGGAAATTTGGGTTGCGTTAACAATGCATATGGCCAGGATGAGTAGTGCCTGAAGTTATGGCACAGTTCATCTTTTATTATGATGGTGAAGGGGTGTAAGTGGATGAAGCACATGCATTTTCTAAAGCTGGAGGGTCAACAACATGCCTCTGGACCCTGAAGACTCAGACTCGGATGTTGCAGTGTCAACTTTACACTTCTCCTCTTGGAAATAGAAGGAAACTATTGACTTTACGTTGACGTCTTCAGTGACATGAAGCGCAGGGAATATAATTTTTCAAAGCCTTTTCTCTTGAACTTGGAGCTTTCCATAGCTCTTACAAAATTAATGTGTACTCTCATCATGATTTGAATGCAGATGGAAACTTACCATGGGTAGTAGTTCCCAGGAGCTAATATACCAGGTAAAATGTGTGTCTTAGAACAAAATGTATTCTTTATTTGTGAATAGGGCAGGTGCACTACTGAAGACATAATTACTCAACCTCATGAATGGAAGATTGAATTCAATAACCGTGTTTTTCGTTTTCTTTCTCCCCACCACCACCCCTGCCCTTCCCCCCCCCCTTTTTTGAGATCTCCTGCTTATTTCTTGGGAAAGTGACAGCCACCATTTCCTGTTTGGGATCATTGGGGATTATTTTAGCTGTTTTCTGGTGAAATCCTAGATGTCAAAGGAACAACATAAGGCCTGTACCAGTAAGTCTTCTGAGAAGTCCCAAGTCTAGGTGGGAAATTTCCTGTTAATCTCCCTTATGTGATGACTCAGGGACCAGGATAGGCCCTGAGTGCAATTCTGTCACCCAAGGGGGATAAAAAGGAGAGGATTGCTCCTTTATCCTGTGAGAACAGGCAAAGGGACAGGTAGCTCCGGGGCTTATAGTCTGGCACCATTAGATGATTGTAGCTCCTAGCTCCAATGCCTTTCAGCAGTTTCAAACAAATGAGTTAATTAGTCAGGTAAACTGGACACAATGGAGGGGTCTGTTGCTTGAAGCCTCTTGAACAAAGGGCTTTTGTTGTGGGATCCAGATTGGTTTAGCTGCTGCTGGAAATTTCCTGGCAGATTTTCTGGTTGATTTTTCCTTCTCTTAGTTGAATTTATTGAAGGGGAAAAGGGAGGAGGGAGAAAAAGAGAGAGAGAGAAAGATGGAAAGACAGAGACAGAGAGAGGTTTTAAAAAAAGTATCAGTACTTGAGTTTGCCTCACCCCCTACATGCATCATCTCAATTTGATCATTTTGATTAGGCTTAGGTAGGAGTTTGGAGAGGTACCACACATCAGATCAGGTCTCCGGAAGTGCCCTGCATGGCACACATTTTGCTAATGATTTGCTAAAGGCAGACATCTCAGTAAAGGAGTATTAGATGGTCCAGGATTCAGAGGAGGTGGGATATAGAATCATTTAGTATGAGAGCAAGAGAGACCTGAAAGGTCATTTTGAATGGGTAGAGAGATATAAGAGAAGATCAAACCATGCAATAGTTGGAACCAGGAGCCAGAGATGGGATGAAATGGAAGGAGATGCTCTGAGGAAAGGATTGAGACTAATTGGGATTGCTTGGTCCAGGGAAGGCACAATGGGTGCAAGAAAATATTTTTTGGGATTCTGGAATGCACTGAGACCACATATTGAGCATTTCAGGAGGTTACAATGAAAATGCACTGTGTATTAAGACGTGTACATTGGCCCCATGTTGGGACCAAATTCAAGATATTTAGGAGGTTTTTTTTTTCACTCACTCTTTGTCTTTGCCTTGGTCTATGGACTCATGAGTGAGTGTCCACCACCATTCCCTTGTTTTCACTTTTGTTTTTAGTTATGTTCTCTTATTTTCTCCATAGTGACCCAAAGTTTACCCAAGACTACTCAGGAACCTCTTCCCCAAGATGCTGTGAAACGTATGTTGTGGCACTGGAAGAAGGGGGGCTGGAAGGGGTTGCTGCATGGCTGGATTGTACCGCCAGCTGTCACCACCTCCTTTGCATGGTTGCGTGTTTCCTGAACACTTCTTTTATGCAATGTTCACTTCCGTTGCCTTGCTTACAATTGTGTCTCATTTTCTCAGATAACTTGAGATATGGGGCCGAGAGCATTTTGACTAAGCTGCTTCTATTTCTAATCCATTTTCTCTTCATTAGTATGATTAGGTTAAATATTGTAGTTGTATGTTTTTACGGTATTACCTGGCATTCTTTTATTTGCTAAGGCTTTCAAGATGCCACAGATGTAAGCAGAGATATGTCTATAAGTTTTTTGGTACCCCAGGAAAATATTTAATATGCATGCATTGTGCTAACTACTTACACTAATGTGTGCACAGAGTTGGCTACGGTGTAAGATAACTGCTAAATGTAGGAAAGTGAAAGCATCTATAGATTTCAGAGCTGCCTCTCCCTTCATTCCCTAAATGTACACAGTAGTGGGACTGGGGTATCTGCCTCTGATCTCATCTCTGCGTGGTAGGGAAAGCTTCCTAAGACAAAAAGCCATGTTAGCCAACCTTACAGTTCTGTGTTTTTTAATGATGGTAATTGGCATTTCACTCTAGCTTGATTTAAACACATGGTAGCAAATATACAGCTACTGATTTTTAAGTTGAATGATAATCAGAAGTAGATTTGTCCCATGTTAAGTAGGATATAGGTTATCGATTCAACTTATCGCTTAGACTAAGGAAAATTGATGTTTATCTTGAATATCCTGAAAAATCCTACTTTCAAAATTGAGGAAACCAATTCTCTTAAATTTTTTTAAATAATAAATTATTCTCACAGAGCTCACGTATCTTGTAAAGATTACATTATAGACCATGGTTCTTTAGTGGTCTCAGCACAATTCACATTTGTTCAAATTATGTATAATTTTTGAAGGATATGCTTTTTATGACCATAGTAAACATTTTCCTTGTGATAGCGGGAAGGCATTTTTCTCTAAGAACATGGGAAGTAGAACAAACAAGCACTGCACTGTAGGATTAATGACATTGATCTTTTTGCCATGTGGACTGTGCCAGACATTTTCTTTTTTCTCTTTAGTAAAGTAGTTGAAATTTACTTCGAGAAATGTGAGGGGAATGGGGGGAAGATTAGTTTTTAAGAGAGAACATGGGCTCTTCCAGACGGAACAAAGTGAGAGCTTCTACACCTTAACTTGAGATGTGGGCTAGTCTGCAGGTGGAGAATCAGCCAGTAATGGCACTTAACAGATTCCGCCCCCATTGGAACATTGTGAGCATCTTCCTCATTTTCTTTGTAGCACTGTAGCACTGTCCTCCCATTCTTCATCGATTTGCTCGAGCAGGCACCAGTAACATCTCCATTGTGAGACTTGTTACTGTGTTTGGCATATCAAATACGTCATGGTTAGCTTGCCAGGCTTTACTGTGCGGGCGAGATACTCTCGGTAGCTTGTCCGGCTCTCCGAGAGGGGTGGAGGAATCGAACCCAGGTTGGCCACGTGCAAGGCAAATGCCCTACCCACTGTGCTAACTGAGACTGAAATAACTTAGGTACATTGCTGTGCTGTGTGAGATGACAAGACCAGCAGGAAACCAACACTATTGAAGCTCTGTTCCCTGCTCCATACTGCAACTTCCAGTTCCTAAACCATTTTTTTTAGGGCAGCAAAGTTAGATTTGAGGCTCAGAGGGCACATTATAAAAATGTGTAGAAAACAAAGGCAAGGAGATGAAGACGATTAAAAATAATGTTTCCTAAAAACCCTGAGTATTGCATGCATCAACAACGTAAAATTTCTTGCCCTTTTCCAGAACAAATACTGTAAAACAAGTTGCATTTTAGCGGTGGCCTCCTTCATCTCTTTTAGGTAACAGAAATGAACTTCACCTTCTGATGAAATTATCTTTATGAAATACTTGCCTCCTTGATGCTTCCAAAGAGGTGTTGGAAATCTCTTGTCATTTTCTCTTGTTCGGTAGTCCAGTAATCTACTTGTCATGCTGTGATCTTGATACCTTTCTAGGAGGGTGAAGGGCCTTGGGTAGCTCGCTCTGTTTTCTAGTCTGCCTACAGAGACGATTCAATCAGAGCAAGTGAAGGGTTTTGCAGCGTTAGTACAAACAGACTAAGAAAGCATATAATTTTTAGTTATTTATAGCCTTGCTGCTATGCTATCTTATTTATAGCAAAGCAAAACATTTGAGTTGAAAGAGTCGTGGTCATCTGGAGGTCAAATGCAGATGCAGGCTGCCATCAGAGAAAATGAGCAAAGTCAGAGGGTGAGCAAGACTCCCCTTCTCCCCCCACACCCACCCCAATTGTGCAACTGGGGTTTGCACTTGGTTCCTTCCTCAACTAAGAGCTAATAACTCAAAGGTAACTGCATTTACCAGTTTCTTAGTCTAAGTCACCTCTAGTCAAAATAATAAAAGTGAACAGAGGTGGGGTAGGATGGAGGGGACGGGGTGGGGATGGTGGGAGGGATGCTGGGACCATTGGTGATTGAAAACAGGCACTGGTGGCGGAATGGGTACTCGATCATTGTATAACTGAAACACAAGCATGAAAGTTTGTAAGCCTATAACTGTACCTCACGGTGATTCAATAATTAAAATAAT